GCACGGATACAAGTCAAGTTGTGCATTGGTTTAGAAACCAGACGCCAAGAGCAAGTCTCAGCGTGATGGCTATGCTTGCGGATGTTGGGCACGCGAATCACTGTCAAAGATGCGCGTCCTGTTGAATGACGTGTCATCAACCACGCTAGTAATGTAGAGGTAGTGCGTCGTGGTTGAAGGCATTGTTTGCGAATCGTTGTGTAAGCACAATGGAAACGAGTGGAACCTCGAGCAGTGCGTCAATTACGACGGTAAATGTGAGTGGCACGTTGCTATGTGCCGTAAGATTTGGCCTCCAAACCAGACCAACGGCTGGTCACGCGGAACGAGAGTGAAGGTAAGAAGCAACAGAGAGAGAGAGAGACCAATGTTGGCCAAAAGAAAGAACCTTTTGTTTCATTGTGGCAAGGCAGGGCCACGCGTTCCCATGGAGACTCGGCAAATTTGATTCAACTTGGGCGGGGTGTTTGAGTGGATAAAACACATCCCAGACTTCGCACCCCTGCACTACCATCCTCATTGAGTACATTAATGCTCCCGATTATTCAGATGTTAACCTTTGCCATGACTCCTGGCCTTTAAGGTCTGGTGTTTACTTATTATCATTAAAGTGACAGTTAATGATTTTAAACAAATAAAAAATTATCGGCCATGCCAAGAATCATTCGTTAGAAACAGCGACAACATATAAAGAACCCCAGAGCGGTACGAGGCAGCCATAATCTAGCCATCAAGTGTACATACCAATTCACAGGATCTTTGAAGTTGAGATTTAAATTAAAATAGGACGCAAGCGAAGGCATCGATGCCGCATACTGACGTGAACTAGCTGCCGGTGGAAAGTGGCAGACGCAAATGCATCCGTCAAAGTGGCTTGTGCCCCGGTGAATACTCACCTCGCAAGTTGTTGAGCCGCGATTGAGGATGTAGAGGTGGTGGACGGCGGTCTGCCGAGGGTCCTGAGGGTGATTTGATATACGAAACACGTGGAAGGCGTGACCCTGAATGCACGCGGTAAAAAGCAGTGAACCGGTCGAGTCGAACTCCAAGTAGCCCACGTTCGCCCATCGGTGAGCCTAAAAGCCGAGAAGTCGGATGATCGCCTGCTTGAGAAGTAGCACAACAGTGGGGCTTTGAGAGTTTCCACGGGATACCGGATAAAAATGCTGATATTCAACGCTTACCTTCAACGTACATCGGCTGTTCCCAATTGCGACTCACTTTAGTTGGAATTCGCACGCAAGTCGACATTCCTGATGTACATATGTAGTGACGAGTTATGATCCATGAAACTTGTTTGGATCAACACAAAAAATGGCTAATTTACATGCCGACCGTCGCTTTACACCCAAAAAATGAAAAGTTTAGGGCTCACACCCGTCAATCAATAATAAATTGACTAATATCCATGGAATTTTCTTCGGATTTTAAATAAACCGCTTCTACATCGACTTGTCAACATGATCTACAAAAACTCCTATTCACACGCAGGTTACTTCCCGTATGGCTGAACAGCGACTACAAATCCATCCTAACAGCTGACATTAACCTCAAAGTAAATGAATCCTTGGCAAGGTGAAAAGACGCCGAGAATGCAGACACTCTCAACTTAAGAAACAGCCATTTCAATGACATGAAATTGCTGACAGGACAATGACAATAGCATGATCCAAAAGTAAACGCTTTAGTCATCCAAGATATCACCAGAGAGCCATTTGCCTCCGACCAAAATAATCCCAGTGCACGAGGTATTACTTCTTCCTCCTATGACCCCATATTTGGGAGAAAGCAAGTCTCACCAGGAAGTGAGCAACAAGAGCCCCATTGTCGGCGAATTCGTGGACATCCAACGAGGCATTCTTATGGGATAAAATGGTTCCCTGAGACTCCCATGTATCGGAGGGGCCCGCGCACTGCAATGAGGAGGGTGAATCACGATAGCGCTTTAAAGTGGAACAGACGTGAGGGCGCTGCAGCACAGGGTACGCGGGGTTGGTGATGGCGCTTGTCTCTGGCTTGGCTTGTCCCGCCACGCCAGTCTCTTCGAGAGGCGGGGAATGCAGTAGTTTCTGGTTCTCAAAGGCACTGTAATTATCAGTGAGTTGGACCAGATCAACAACAGAAACGTAGCTCGAGAAGGTTGAAGCTGGGGCCGCAGGGTCGGCGGCGAAGTCAATCGACTGGCGTCGAACTAGATGTGGGTAGCGGGAGGGTAGGTTGGGTCCTCCTATTGCAACGGAGCTGGCAAGAGCGGAGAGACCGTCCCAAATACGCTACAGTACCACGGGAAACACGCATTTGGAATGGAAGTTATGTGCGATCAGTGTAGGATAGGTAAAACCATAAGGACATCGTGAGATTACCAGTTTCAGTAACAGTAAAAGTGACATTATGCAGGAGGCCTTTAGCTGTGGCGTTAGCGAAAAACACTTTACTGGTTAGAAGAGAATGCTTCCAAAGGGTTGGCAACAAATATATACATGAAAATGGCTTAATAAGAGCCTATAGCCGATAACTAGCAGAACGCACATGTTGACATGGCGAGCGCATAAACAATATGCGCAGTTAACCTGATCCAAACAAAGGAATGCTCCCGTGACACCAATGCCGCGTGTTTCGTCTTACACCGTTCTGCGAAATTCCGGGTTCCTCTCGTGGTTCAACGTAGTAAGATGGACCCGTCTAGAACACACCCGCCTCCGTTATTGAGATGCAAAGCCACCTTGGTGGCAGCTTCTCGACGGTACAAGCCCAGAATTGTCATGTTTCAGCTCCGCACAAACTACAAACACCTGGTGCGAGATTTAGTAGACAAGGTGGAATACGCACACTCCGCTCGGTAGCTCGCGGTGATAACTTCCTGTCTACTAGCATTGTTTTTCACCAAATTTTGTCTGAGCCAGCTGGGCCTCTTTAGCCCACACACCAGTGTTGATCCAGTTTGCCCGTAGCAGTGAATGGGGATGGGCGTTTTCTCCTCGATCCCACTATGCGCATAACAATGCTGTCTTGGGAGAGACTCAAACGGCGTTCTTAATAGCACTTATCCTCACACCGAGATAAGTCGGCATCAACTCGCGACAATGGGTGGTTGAGCAGGTTGTGTTTAACGCCCCTGTTAAGTCGCCCAATGGCTGCTCCGGGTGTTCTTCTCAATCAATACCTGCTAAGCATCAACGAGGCATTGGCGTTCGTTCATCTGCTGAGGTCACACGAACCCGTTTTAAACTATCTTCCCTCACGGGGCTTCGCATTCAACCACGCAGCAAATTTTGCTACGTTGCTATGGCTACAGAACAAAATCCCTCTTACTGTGAATATGCGTCATCGATGACGGAGAATTTTGTGCCACCTGTTTTTTCTTTTTTTTAAAAAAAAGCCTATGTTTTGACCTACAGATATTTTTAGGTTAGCAATCGTACGATCACATTTAGCGGACTACAATACCGCAATATGTCGTACTATCATGTGCAATGTTCTTTACCAAAATCAGACCACTTGCACAAGAAAGTATTGTAGGATTCGACAATGTGACAACTCGCGATGTTAGTAAACCAAAACAAAGTAGTACGAACTGAGCTCATCAATGTCTACGATGACACATCGTTTAGCATCACTAAATCAGGCACTAAACCAGAAGCAATGTAGCCATGGAAATAGTGTTTAATTATGCATATCAGGCACACAGAAAAGATCCATCTGACCAAAAGGACTAAATGAGTAATTAAATGCATCAAAATGTACATAAAAGGGGGCCAACTCCTCAAAATTACTACATGGACCTTAGTTTTGGCTAGTGTGCTTCGGAAGTTGAGAGAGCAAAAATCGACAAACCTTAAAGAGCTGGGGGAAAAACGACCGCACTACATAAGAGGTATGCGATGCACTAATGGAATCCAACAAAAAGAAATAGTCAGCGCACCTTATTAACGCTGAGGACCGTTGAAGCCACGGGTTTCGAAGAATCCCCGCTTGCATCACCACAACGCGATAAGTGGTGATAGACGGGCTGATCAAGGAGAGACAGAAGGAAAACATTAGTAATTTTCAGTCTTCGGTCTAAACGAGCTTAAAAATTTACGCTTCATATGTTTGTGCATTTTCACCTCGGTGTAAAACACTGAATAAAGAGTCTCATTGAGGCAAGAGAGAAGGTTTTAGTCTAAAAGCAATCAGGCGTAGATTATTACGGTTGTTGCCACAATAATTAAGTTATTGGGTCATTTTTGATTACTCAGAGGAAAGAGTTTAGCATATCCATGCGATGATGCAAATTATGTGGATTCAGTTAAACGAGTAACTAGCAACTCTTTATCTATCCAAATAATGTAAAACAGTTGCGCTGAAAATAGTATTGGATTTAAAAGCGGGCACCTTATGAAGTGGTAAGGACAAATATCAATAAAACTAATAACATCCTGACTCTGTAAACACAAACTAAACTTCGTGACAAGGATAAGTAAGGTAGCAAAAGTGCAAGGCATAAAACAAAGGTAAAATAGTAAAGAATAATATACTCGAACATCAGGAAAGGCCATCCAGCGTGTTCCCAATGCAATCGGAAGACACTTGGCGAGTACCGACTTGAGCATCGGCTTCACGTCTTGGAAAAGAGGGAAAGGGAGTGTATTAGATAACTGCTTTAGATCATGTTGCAATAAATTACAACGGTACGTACTTCCGACAGTAAACAACTCCAGCAGCGTATGTGCTGATAACACAGATATGCAATCGATACGACATATCAACACAAATCTATAAGCAGCGAAGTAAATTAAAAAAAAAACTGCATCAAACCTCTGATTTGCTTCGATCGATGATACATAGGAGGGTGAAGAATAGTTGACCACTGTGTTACCAGTGAGCAAGGAGGTAAAATGGACCTCCCACTGGTAATTACTACACTCAACATGACAAGGTGATAAACGATAATTACCTTTGCTCGCTGCTTACAACGATAAGAGGACGCATTTCTTCAAAGTAATCCGTATACTCAGCTATGTAAGAAACGCTAATAGAAACTAGTCAACTACATACCGTGCGGACAAACGAGTAGCTTCGCCCCAAGCGCATAGAATCCCATTCTTGAAAAGAGTAAAGACGCTTGCCCATTACGCTGAGGGAAAGAGAACATTAAAAAGTGGATAACATACTGTTACAGCCCAGATATAAAAGCCACGATTAGTGCTAATTATAAGAAGGAAGGAGTACTTCTCGTTTCCTGTAAATTGGCTGGGGCAGTTTTCGAACTTAGCCCAAACAACAAGTTCCTCCGTTGGTTCTTGGAGAGGAATGACGGCAGGAAAGCAATCCGTTAGCATGTCACGAACACTCTCCATCAAGTTTTTTTCACTATGTGCCAAAAATCTAGAGATTCTACCTGATATACCTACCTATATTTATCAGCAGATACTGAAAATAACGGCTGCATTTTGGATGGAATTGAGATGCAAAATGAATGTTATCAGTGTAAATAAGAGTTAAAACAGCGACAAGTTAACCATGGTCCACTCCAATTGCACAAAACGCCTGAAAAAAAAAACAATAACGCACTGTCACCTTGGTTCGATGCCAATACACGGTTTTTCAATAGATAAAGAGGATTGGACTGAAGCTGCCAATCAGCAAAAAAATATTACCATGTAAAGCCAATAGCCAGCACTGCCCTTAAAATAATAATTTGAAACAACGTTTCGGACAAACATAAAAGCTATGGTGAACAAAACAGACGTGAGTGCATAAAATTAAACAAAACCTCAATGAATAGAACAATAAATACGAAGAAACAGAGCAAAACCAAAAATATTTGAACATATTTGTCAGCATGTAAATTAAAACTGGTCACAAAATCACGTTATTAGACTCAAATTAATAGAATTAGCAAACCGATGATGAGATACACTTCCTTTTGTGACCTGAATACAAAACAATGTAATTTTATCTTTATTGCTAATACTATTGAAAGGCAGAAAAACAAGTACTAAAGCTTTGCAGAACTTTGTGATCAGTATTCATCAGGAATATGCATGCTGATACGGTTGCGCGAAACCGTATATGATAGGAAAACAGGCAACTTTCAAGTGACTTCCAATGAATATATTCAAACGTTTTTGAGAGGTATAGCTTTTGACCATGCACTTAGACCTAAAAATGAACTAGGATCCAAATGATTCAATAGATTAAGTTCACATCAGAATGTACTTTTGTTATACAACATAGACAAAACTAACGAAAATATAGCCACTAAAACCTATAATCAAACAGTGATTCTGAAAAAAATATAAAGTTTACAACAAAGGAGCAAGAAAAACAACAATATCAGCTGACGACTAGTAACGAAGTGACCGCCACAACTTTAGTTCATCTGAATGAAATATTAGAAGCGATAAACACTTCAACACAATGAGGTATAGAAAAGGTTAAAATGACATAAAGTCTAAATATTTGTACACTTATAGATTGAAATAAGTGACCAAACTAGACTGCACTTTAATATATTTGTAGTGGGCCGACAATCTACACTGACAGGGCCCGACCGAAAGAGCAGAAAATGCGAACGGCTCGTAGCTCAACTAATTTATTGATGCAGCGGTGTGTGTACAAGATACCAAGTACGTTTATATAGCCTTGCTAATCGTCGATCCCTGAACGAACATAGTTAGGTGAAGTTCATTCACGTAAATCATTTGAATCATGTTCGCTCCCGAAAGCGCTGCTCACCACATATTTTTCTGCGCCATCAGATTTAAATTTTGTGCAGCTGATCGTATTGAAGTTAATAGAGAGCATATTTAGTTCTATGGTTATATAATACGAGTATATTATTCACTATTCGATGCTTTTTGTATTATTTCAATTTATGTTGGAATTAAAATGGCGTTTGATTGTCATTCTCAGCATCGCTATAATTTTAACTGATACAGTTTTATTGTAATGTGGAGCTATTTAAACAATCTGCCTTTAATCCGCAAATGAATGCATTTATTTGGCATGACCCTGTTGAAAGCATTTTAATTCTAATAAATATGTTGCAAGAAAAAAGTAAAACGAAATAAAATTAATACTGACTCAGCACGGTTAAATGTATTAATTTTTTTATGACTGTGTAAAACCTAATATTGAGGGTGTCGAAGGCATTACTGTTGTATGTATGTCATGGAAGATCTAGAATGGGTTAGCACTGTCCTTCTGAACTTAGTTTATTAGCAAATACAGATTGAATTGTGGTGTGGCTAAGAAGTACGGAGAAACATTGGTGCACTTAAGTAAAAACTACAGATAATGTTAACTGTAGTAAGAGTTTTTGTGAATAACATGTGAGCTGCAAGCGCGGTTGACCACGTATCCTATTTTGAAACTCACTTGCTAACTCATATACATGACGAAAAGCTAGGAAACGTGCTGTGCGAAGGCGAAATAACTCAATTAAATTAGATTATGCGAATGTACCAGTATCAGATTTATAAATATAACCAACGTAATGAAATGTGGAACTTTTATAAGCATAATTTGGTTATAAAATTTCCCATGTGTGCTACACAGTACTCTGTTAACTTTTTCTGCATTTAAGATGTTGTCATCCATGTAGCAATGAAGAGCTGCATTTCATGCGTTTAACAACTAACAACATGTTTTAAAGTTTGATCAACCTGGTTTTTCACTAATATTGTTCTTAAGGCTAATTAATTTAAACTGAAAATTGCCGAACGCACGTTATGTCGTTGTGTGTAGTAATTAAAGGAAAATTCAATTTCTTGAAGCCTAAAGCAACAGCTGTGCTATTTCATTGTATATAATTTCTAATGTTAAAGAGAGTCCCATAGATTTTCAATCAAATTTAATAACCGATAAATGTCATACAAAACTTATTTTACATGGTCAGCATGAGATCAATGGTTAGAACAAGATGGCAAGTTACACTAAAATTAATTAGTCTGCTAACAAAAGTAAACTGCATGTATCTATTAGTCTGAAGCCGTATTATGTAATTCTGATTTATGTCCATTATTATCACGAACATTCAGATTTGACCACTGACCCATGTCGATTACTTTTATGCTAACAACCCGATAAGTAGTCTGCGCCATACTTAATATCGTACCTGCCGTCCAACCTCCACCTCCAGGCATTGCCTCACATTTGCACGACTGTAACTCATATGCACTTTCGATATTGAGGACAGACAATATTTTAGACCCGTTTACAGATTCGCATGAAATTAAATATTGAAATTAAAATAATTTTTTCCTACTTTTAAAATCTCCCTAGTTCCTTAAAGCGTCAAGTAGTCAAAAAATGTTGTAATATCAGTAAAATGATAATGCTTATCGATTTTGATTATCCAACCCACGTACGTATTTAATCTTATTCCATTGGTATTCCTTTAAGGTTGGTGGGCCCATGATAAATTCAAATCACTCAACCTACTCATTTTTCTTCACTTCCCTTGTGTGAGAGCTCTTTTATTGGCATCCTAAAATTCTGAATCATGGTGAATCAAAGAGGGTAACTCCCATTGTTTCCAGCCTCCTCATTATTTTCGCGATCTCTATGTATTTTATTCTGTCAGCAAACCAATCGACTTGATTGTGTATTGTGCATTTATAGAGAGTTGGGTATTGTCAAACAACCTCAACTCTAGAAGGAAGTCCATTATTCAACTAAATAAGAACTTAGACTAAAAAAAATTTTTTCTATGAATTTGATGAAGTGGATGAATGTTTGCGAAGATAGAGACACAATACTGTTAAGCGCCTAATAAGTCTAACGGGTTGACTAGCCTACTGAAGTGACATCAAAATACATGACTTGAATTTAGGCTCTTATGTTCGCATATGGCACAGTCTTTCTTGAAAAAAAGACACTAAATCAATGCGCGAGCACAGGAATTTAATGTCTGGTAGCGGATCGTCAACCTTTCAGTACTTGACAATGCACAGGACCTCTTGCAAAGAGGCTCTACTGTCTCAGCCGAACGACCACTGGACAAATGTGGTGTCCTCATATACTTGACCAATCTTGGACTGATGAGTTGCTAAATTTTAAAATGTGCTTTGACTAAACTAATCTAGATCCTCAATAATAATAAAAAAATTAATAAGCTATGGAAACAACTTTAGAAATGAACAAACTAACACTGCTGATTTTGGCGTGGATTGGAGACTAGTTCTGTGGAAATATTTTTGAGGGAGGAGCTGGCCCTTTGGTTGTCTTTTCTCAGGACATGGCATTTAGATGGGTTGTTTTACGCAATAAATTACAAAAGTCACGCAGATTCACATGGGCCTTATGGCCCCAGGACCGAACCCAGGAGTGGACTTAAAAGGGAGGGTCAAGCAAGACACGTATATACAGCTATGGTAATTTACTAGAGTATGGAGGGAAGGAGTCTGAAGTCAATAGCCCGTTTTAAGAATGAGACAAAAAGTAAAAGCTAGCAGACCGCTCCACCTTCACCATTAAATACGATGCTGCCAACAGTTTTGGAGAACTTGACCAATGGAGCACACAGCTTTCGATTTAGGTCCAGGACATTAACCACTTCTGCTATAGAACCTTTCAAAATCCTAACTGTTAGTACTCATTTTCTAGCGGGTTAGACTGCGTCTTCCAAGCCACAAATCATTCACCACACCAGTTAGGCGAAAACAACAACTGAATCCTGAAACAACTCAGGTGAGAGAGTGTTGATTGAGGGGTTACGATGAAGGAACCATTGCGATTTGGTTGAAAACTCATATGGCTGATTGTCATCACGCAACTTCCTACAGACCATGAAGTAATTGCACTAACAGTTGGTGGGACAACGAAGATGTGATGGGAGCGATGCAGAGTTGGTCTCGCCAAAATGGTGTGTGGGAGTGACAAGATAGGAGAATAACATCCATCTTTCTGGTAGTAGTGTTAAAAGTTGAGCTTTCAGTCACCTCTAGTCTGCAAGCTGTTCCCACCAAAATCTAGCAAGGACTCAAGATGAGGCCGAGCTCAAAGCAAAGCACCGAGTTTTAGACATGCGATTGGTCAAAAATGCACACCTACTATCGGCAATTTTGTCGCTGTCTAATTAAAAGCTGTAGCGTACAGTTTTAAGTAGTCTATTGCGGCCATAGAATCTGAATTGAAAATGCTTCTTCACAACTTTACATCAGAGGAATATGGTACTGTAGCCATGTTTCTCGCTGCGAAAATTTGCTGCGTGGTTGAATGAAAAACCCCGTTAGGCAGGATAATTTAAAACGGGTTTGTGTGACCTCATTGGTGCTCAGCAGGTATGGATTGAGAAGGACACGCAGCAGCCATCGGGCGATCCAACAGGAGCTACCGAGTGGAGCCCGCGTATTCCGCCTTGCTCACTAGATCTCGCACCAAGTGTTTGTAGTTTGCGCACAGCATTGGGAGGGAATGACCATGACGACGATAATCACGTGGATGAGCTTAACTACGGGTTCAAACGTGACGATTTCGAGCTTGTACAGTCGAGAAGCTGTCGCCAAAGTAGCTTTGTACCGCAAATAATGAGGATGCGTGCGCGCTAGATGAGCTCGTCTCATTAACTAGCGTTTGACTCGCCTCACGAGAACGCCAAGCGCCAGACTTGGCGATCTTCCCACCAAGTGCTGCCATAATGAACGAAGCCACGCGGTGAAGCATGACCGTAATTGGCCAATGTTAGTCATCAACAATGATACGAATGAAAATGGCATGGTGCAGGGCGAAGAGAAAATAGATTTTATGAAAGTACAAAATAAGCTGTCAGAAAGGAGAAGTCATTTCAAATTTTTAGGCCAGAGATGTCGGGGTGTTTCCCCTCGATGGCAGAAAATAGGAACCTGAGGTTGAACCAGGAGAGGCAGCCAAGAGTGCGCACGAGGCAGTAGCTGAAACCGTGCAAGGCGAGGGGGGTGATGTCGGTGTCAAATTTGTGGGTAAATCGCTTCATCCTACCTGGGTCGATTTCCCTCTTGCCGCCTCCTTTGCTGCGCCCAAAAGGCCCCAAAACACGGCCCTGTGAGGTCATGAATTTCATTGAGTCCACGAGCCAGCCACTGTGCATTTCCACGCTTCGAATGGTTTCCGAGTCTTCCAGTTTAAGAGATTGCCTAATCCAGAAAAAGGGTACTTGCAAAATAAGTAAAAAAATAATCGAATACCATCCAAGTCAAAACAGTGAAAATATATGACACCACGAGTTCTCTTGTCACTCTCTACAGCGTAACCTTGATTCAAGTTAGGTACAGCATCAAGCTTCGCTTCGATTTGAAATCGGACAATCCGGTAAGTCGTGATGGTCAAAGCAAACTGATTGTCAAGTTTGCAAGGCGAAGGCTTTACCCAACAGAGATAAAATTTCGCTAACTGGGAGTCAACCAGACACTCAAAGAGGAGCTGCATAAATGACCTCTCTATCCTAGAAACACTCAAAACTGAATCACTTAAAGAGTTGCCTGTGCAGCAGTTGATTTTCTCCGCATTTCCTAAAAATTCAAGCCATTGGTAGCTTGTAATAAATGGATGATCAGAAAATATAACTAATTTTGAAGCTGAGACTACTGGTTTGCTTTTGAAAGGTTTTCTAAGGCACTTATTTGGCACAGCACCATCAATTACTTCCTCTGTTGGAAAAATTAAACTTTTGAGAAGACAAAACCAAGGTGTTAACGACATTTCACTTTAATCCAGACAGCCCGTTTAATTATGCAAGCATCAATTCTACTAGATGTGAGAAATTGTTGCCAAAATACAAGCCAACAATTCCCATGAAGTGTGGAGTTTAAAACATAGGAAACAAGACAGAAACAACTAACACTTCGTAAGGAGCTGGGTGCCTTGAGGCGAGGTCGCAAAGAAACTTTCGCCGTTCCTCTGACCAAATATTCCGATATTCAACATCGACCCCTAAAATCGCATCAGAAAATACAAAGTAGGTAAATCTTCCACTAGATCAGAAGCCTGTGCAGAAAAGATGGAAGGATATCAAACCGGCAGGTTAGATGCGTTTAGGAGCTTAACAATAGGCCACAGAGTCGAGAGACGGTGGTTAAATCAAATTAAGACTAATATCATTGTAGATTACATCCAAGAATGACCAAGAAGTTAGTCCAACCTAGCGCTCAAGTCCCAGAGGTCCATTACTGGACACAGGATCTTAATACACACAACTTTGACCCCCAGGAGAGGAAAACGTTCTGCCAGAATTCAGATGTCCTCAATTTAATAAATTCCCAATCGGAAATATGGAATTTAACATCGATTAGAATCGATCGATTACACAACAGAGGAGAATCAAGGCAAAACAAAACAAAGTACCTCCGATCAGGCCAGGAGTTCCACCCCACGAGGGGATAAGGTAGAAGGTGATTTCAGAAATTGTCCATTCGCCAGGAGGAAAATCCTCACATGTTGTAATCTTATCCCAACTCACCCAATCAACGCTGCAATAAAATCAGCCTTACCTGAATTAACAGAAGTCAAAATGCCCCATGAAGCAGTTTCTAATAACATGCATGAGTGCTATTTTAACCTTAGCGTTAGAATACAAGTAGGCTAGTGAAAGGTTAGCATTTGAAATTGGTATCTGATCTCCTGAGTTGATGCATAAACCAATAGAAAAGATTTGATGGGACAAGGGCCTAAGATAACACAAGTATCTTCGACTTAACAGTCCATAACAATAACGAGAATACAACAAAGACCGATGTCTACAAAATGCAAAGTATCCACGACAGTGTCGTTATGAAAAAGCGTAAGGATAGTTAAAGTGTGACTATTCGTTATTGATGAAGTTCTCAAAATGGTAATTTACTTAAAAGACCGGATTTCTCAGCAGGACAAATGAATATATTGATTTGCATACTCTACCAGTGATAGAAAGTCATATTTTGGTAGCTAGTAAACTATCCTCTAAGAACGTGAGTGCGCGTTCAGGTCAAACATCAACAACACTGTAGTAACTGGTGGAACAGCAACATAACCACTCGAAGTAGTGTATAATGACACAAATAAGTCAAATATTGGTAAAACGTACTTGAGGCAACTACGATTTTGATATGAATCAAAACAACTGTGCAAAAAACTCGACCAGTAATTCTAATCCATATTTCAAGGGTCAACTTTTTAAAATAATTCCTGATTGAAGCAATGTACTAGCGGCCAGAGAATTTACTCAAATAACAGACATTTGTACTGGGATGTACAATAAATAAATTAAACACCTACGACTGATCACTGATGGGCATACTGGCATAAGCATATATCCATTCCGCGCAGACAGACGGACCTAAGTAATTCATGGTACATTAAGTATATATGAATTTACTAATCGAACGCAGGTCCATACAGTCTTCCTTTTGGGGAATTTTATTCTCTCCTGGGAAGGTTTTGGCAAATATCTACCTCAAAGTAACGATTAAAAAAGAACACAACCTCCTGGATTTTGACGACAAAACAGCGACCCATCAAACACATCGAGCCCTCCATCAAAATAAGACACATTTTAATATGAAGGTACTGATAAAACATATCCACTCCAAGCCTAGACAATAAATCTGTGACAATATATTTACTTGCCTGCAAAGGCACACTTACCTATGTTACCAAACAAGTCTTGATTGTTGCACAAATGTGCAAAGACTTCAGAATCGTTATAACGAGTTATAATTTCAGCAGCTAGATCAGATACCTCCTGAGATAACGGATGAGAGAGGAAATTTTCAACGAGTTTACTGCGACACAATACAAGAGCAGGAGCCAAAACAAGGAAATCGGCGGCCACATACACATCCAAGAGGTTGGCTAAAGTTACATCCAGATCGCCGGTATAAAGGAAATCAAGTAAGAGAGAAAAGGTTGAAGCATCAATGTTGTGGACTGTGACCACTTCATTCGTAGTTATATCATGCCGAATAACTTTATCGAAGAACTCGGAAGCAGCACACAGGATCTCCAAATGAGCAGTGAAACATTTCCCATCAACCTCCAATTTTACTGCACCGAAACCCTCTTCCTTTTGAAGTTGCTTCAGTGCAGTTGATTTCGCTTCCAAAAACTCAGGCCTACTCCAACAACTTGTGGCAGATTGTTGAGGTCCACTTGACATAATGGATAGTGACGACATAATTACAACAATAAACTTTAGCGCGAAATGTTGCAAAATGAAGAGAAGTAAATGTCAGCAATATATATGCACAATTTTGACGTCAAAATAACCAGATTTCCCAATTAATAAAGACTAGAAATTAAGGAAAAAGTGTGGATATTTAACAATAGGGCTATAAGGAATTTAAAAGTAACCAATGGCTTTGTCAAGTTCCAAATGCACAAATGAGGAATGAAAACTACTCCTTCGAAAGCAATGTTTGGTCAACATTGAGTCATAACGAATTTTTACATGAGAGCGAGGCACCATATTTGTTAATTTCTTGGAGTAATTAGTATTAGCCAAGGCATGTAGGGAAAAAATTAGCCAGTATGCAAATACCTCAAAAATGCCTGATATTTGGAGCAGTTATTTCATTTACGTGAATACATTTGACTAATTTTTTTAATTAGCATGTCCTAAAATCGATTTCCTTAAGATGTGATGGGTTAATGAATCTTCAGTCAAACAATAAAAAAGACAACAAATTGAAAATACATCACGAATCCCAAATTGTAAACAAAAGAACTGGGTAGGGCAAACTTGAGCATTTTTGAGGCTCCTCAGTACATTATTAAATCACACAATTTTGCCAAAGTTCATCAGAAAAGGCAACATATCTTGCTATTAAATAAAGGAAGACTGTTCATACTAAGCACTCATTCTCTTATTAGGTCCTTTAAATATATACGATGAATAGTAAAGACATATGTTAGTTAAATTCTTCGCTTATGACGACAGAAAAAATATGCACATAGTGCAAGTACACGAAATGTTCGTTAAGATGTATTGTTTAAATAATATTCTCATCAGAAAAACTCAATTAATTTAGCGAAAGTTGAAGTTGCTGTAATCATTTTAAGGTCATATTTTTAAATTATTTAAACTTCTAAATATCCTTGCTCGCCCCAATCTGATAAAAAACCCAAGTCGACCTTATTTGCTATTGTCTTGCTAAAAGTGACAATATGGATGTAAGACCAACATCTGGGGACATCACTCACTTATGCTTTTGTAGTTTTACGGAAGAATGGAGAAGATCAAATTTGAAAGAGGCTTCATCCATTATTAGGCTACTGTACCACACTTTTGGCATATTTATAATTCGACAACGTGAATGGAAGGTTGCGTAATTCGTTGTCTTCTAAAATGGGGAACTAGAAGGTTTAGTTTACTCTTACTGGGAACAAGCAAGATTAGCAATAGATTTCATCGGCGTTGAGGGGTTAGGCAGACGTCAGAAGCGTCTACGCGTAGGCTGAGGAAACTGTTGTTTATCCACAGTATTTACTACAGTCTAATAGCATAAAATATTTAATGTATTAATATGTAGAGAAAAAAAATTAATTTAACAATGTCTTATTTTTGTGCTTGAAGGGACTAAATGTTGTTTTCTGCTCATCTTCTTTTTGAGTGCAGGATCTAAGATTTTACTGAGACTGTGCATGCATGTGGATATTTTCAGGGCTATGGTTAGTCTAAACACAATTATCCTTTTATTTCAGAGCAGAGCCGGTGATAAACAAACTCGGCATAACTACTCTTGCGATTTTTTGATGCAGCCACAAAAAGCAAATACATAACCTATAGAAGGAGAACAGAACATAAAAGAGAGCAAATATATTGATCAGAAATCCTAACTCAATTTTGGATGTAATTAACAATTCTATTGCTTTTCGTATAAAACTAGTCCGATCAAAATGTGATGCCCAGATAAACAAGCGAATACCCTTTCGTAGCCACAAGGAATGCATATCAACATATTGACATTTAAATTTGGTTATAAACAGAAATAGTGGTTTTAAGAATATGACATCGTATTATTGTCTACATTTTTATCCATTAAATTAGAATTTTAAACTTTAGCGTTATTGGTTGATCAGTGGGACTTATTAGGGTCGGTAATTGGCTGCGTTTTGTGGTAAATATCCTTTGTTTTCTATCATGACGGTTGCCAGTTCCCGCGGTCGGTTGATTGCTGTTATTGGTGATGAAGATACGTGTACCGGTTTTTTGCTAGGTGGAATCGGGGAACTTGATAGAAACCGTCGCCCTAACTTTTTAGCTGTAGACAAGGACACACCTCTGAGTGAAATCGAAAACGCTTTTACTTCGTTTCTGTCTCGTGAAGATATTGCGATTATTCTGATCGTCCAGAATGTGGCAGAAATGATCAGGCATCTTATCGATGCATATACGGAACCAATTCCAGCCGTCCTTGAAATTCCAAGCAAGGATAAGCCTTATGACGCTAGCAAGGACTCAGTTCTGAAACGGGCGAAAGGAATGTTTTCGACAGAGGACTTTCGCTAGTTCTTTATCGCTGCTCTTTGTCATTACACTGCATAATATTTTTATGACGATTAAATAAAGGTTTCGATGTTGTTCTTATTTCAATTCAACTGCTAAGTGGCCTCAATGATTTCTAGATTATTCTTTTCTCAGATATGGAATTCGGAGATTCAAAATTGAATCCGGATGCTGAAGAATTCACTCCAACCGGCATGGTTGAAAAGCTCGCGGCAATGGAACTTATTTACAGATTAGTTTCTGAAGCTTTCGATGTTAATGAAGAGGTCGCAGAACAGGCTTTTGATAAGGTATATTTAGTGTCGTGATTTTATCACCCACCTTTCGGATATCGGCCAACATCTCCAAATACTTTCAGGCACTTTGCTCTTCTTTCAGCCTTGATTGTTGTCGTGTTTTTTTACTGTGATTGGTTTCTAGGAAACATCTACGTTGCTCTCAACAAATGCGTTTTCTCTTGCTAACTTCATTTTATGTTATTAGAATTATACTAACATTCACATGCTGTTATTTAAAATCTCTTGACACATTGACCGATTTTTTTGTTTAGTTGTCCAAGGTCTGTTCAAGTGTGACGTTTTCTGAAGCTCCTCGCTACGTCGGGATGTCAGTAGTCGAATCCTCTGTTTGTAAGTCGGGAAATGCCGTTTTAGGATTTCGCATTATTAAACGGCTTCAAAATTCTATTTCGGAGACTGACGGCCATATACTAAATTCTGGCGTTTTCGACAAAACTCATGAACTCTCCTTAATCCTTATCAACGGTGGTTTTCTGCAAAAAATGGCCAATTCAAGTACTCGCAATGGGCCTGAGGCTGGCGACACTCCAGTAGTAAATAATCACCAAATTCTCCTGGTTGAACTGCTCCATTTAATCGTGATGTGCATTCCCGACGTGCATAATACAGAAGATGGCCGAGTTGCTTTACCGCCTCTCAAACCGTGTATTGACTTGTGCATTCTTGCGGACGCCGCCTTTCGAATTCAGATGAACCTCGCTAAAGGAGTATCGTCTGGAAATACTTCCTCTCAACCTTCACAAACGATCCCACGTGTAAATGCCTGGCATTGTCTACTGGACGCGTTTTTATCCAAACTAACACAAGCCATACCCTACTTTAACCTTCTGCTTCAGCAATCTCAGGATTATTTGCCAACAAACACTTGGGTTTCAACTCCAGGCACATCAGATAGACCTCTTAACGATGATTCTGAAACACTAGAAACAGTTGATGTTTCCCCCTCTATACTAGGCAGCAAAATGGATAAATTGCTGTTTCGAGTGAAGCATATGATGGTAATTGATGGTGGCTTTCCATCTACTTGGCTCAGATCAACTGCTCTCGAACTACTCCTATCATCCGCTTCCGTGTACAGTGCCTCAGTCAGCTGTATGGGAGGTCCTAATGATTGGCATGAAATTGATGAACCTAGTTGTTCAGACGAAGATGATGTTTCAATTGAGGGTCTTACAGCTGCAGATGACCCCGAAGTATTAAATGATTTTCGCAACTTTTTGCAGTCTTCAGGTCAGTCGTAGTTTCGTGACGACTCGCCTTTCCGCTTTAATTACTTCAAGCCGTCCAGGAATAGACAGCATTTACATTAATCGCCAATATTCCTCAGCTCTTCCATCTATGGAGCGCGGTTTTGGCAATTAGATGCTTTAAATTAACTCTTACTCCCCTTCTAATTCTGCTAATTACCTTCCTATTTTCAATCCTAAACTTTCGTTGATGTTTGGATCCCTTCAGATCGAATCTGAACGTATCTAGTCGTACGCTTCATTGGTCCCTATTTTTATTTAAAAGCCCTCTTGTATTTCATCCATTTGTTACGTTTTGTTATTGGTATTTGGCATTTAATCAGGAAAAAAAGACAACCCGAAACTCACCTTTAACTTATGGTTGGGGACCTCAGTAAAGGGGGACTTGCGATGGGAAAACTAATTTTCGGCGAAGTTCTCTCTCGACTGGTATACACGCGCCCAGTTTCAGTATCACTTTTTGCGGTCTCCGTAGCCAGACTGAGGATTATCTTGATACTTCATGGGTCTTGGTGAATGCACCAATGACTAATGTGATATGGCACTGTGTCTTGTAAGATGGAGGGGGATGTAGTGAGTCGTGTCGATGCCTGCTCATTCGCCTAGTCACTGCATTCGACAATACATTGCCCCCTTTGGACGGTGTCCTTGTTAGCTTTACGACAACTGGGTTGATTGTCCTGAGTCGGATCTTGGTTATCGAGTCGCAGTTTGAGAGATGGTGTGTTACGGCGGAACTATGCACAAGCAAATTATAATAACTCAGAAATGTACTTCTCTAATCAAGTCGTTTTTGGGATTTAAGGAAAATAGTGAATTTTCTAAGTTTCAGGGATGCAGTAACCTCCTTGGTAGAGTTTGAAATCAACGAAATTCCATAATTACTCTAATTGCATATTTAGTTCTTGGTGAAAGTATCCTTCAACACTGTGCATGAATCGAGGTATCCTTGAGGTTTACTAACCTGACGACGAATCACAGCAGTCTGTGGGTTACCACCGGCGTCATTTTTTCATCAAGTGGATCGCTAATGTCTTAGGGATTCGAAACACACGTTTTAACATATGGTGTAATCTCACTTGCGGGTTTCCTTTGAGCAATTTATCACAGGCCATAAGTCGGCAGCTTCAAAAAGGTGTTTGTTTATTTGAAAAACGGACAATAGTAGTCATGTTAGTGCACACTTTATTCACACATTTCACTAGCAACTCGCTAGTTTAAAAAATTGACACGTCATCTGGAAAAATTAAATTCAAACTGATCACCATGTGAGGATTTCAATCTGAGTTGTTCAAATTTAAGATTGGTGACTTCATAGGGTGTCAAAAGGTCACCTCACTTGTCATTGTCAGATGATAAACCTAGCTCCGTGTGTAGGCCATGATAAAAATCCTCATTCGAAAGGGTAAAATGGAGAGTGAGGGAAACAGGCGGCATTAGTGTCTGTCTTCACTTGTGCAAGAGTCGGATATTTCAAGCATCGTCTTGTGACAAGCAATCAACGCGAAAAGTGGATCACGTAACCTCGAAAGCAGGTTCCTAACGTTACGCTAAGCTATGGTGTGTGTGTGTGTGTGGCGATCAGCGAGCGAACACGATGCACTACACGTAATCATGCTCGGTCGGATATTAACATTAACCGATCCCACATAAACTGCCAACTTGCTACCTTGTACCACCACACTAGCACGGCATCAGTGAATAAGTTGAGCTACGCGTTTTACCTGCATCTCCAGTCCTTATTGGTCAGGACGTGTGAACGTAAAACGTAGGCCCTCGCGTGGTTTACTGCAGTTCTCAACCGACGGAAGCGCAATGCTTGAGGTGGAGGGCGCGGGCACTGGTGATGCGAAGGGCGTCTTCATCAGTTAGAGCTGCTGCGCCATATTTACCATTTAAAAGAGGTGACACCAAAGAGTTAACCAGCGAAGTTACCACGCGTCGAGACGCCACAATTTGTTGTGGCGGTCCCAGTACGTTTCTCGAACCACATCGCGACCACTGTGTGGGATCCGGATCGATTGCGCTACCTGCGATGACAAATAAGATTAGGAACAACGTGAACACAGCCGTTTACTTCAGAGCTCAATACAATTGGTGCCATCGTGTCGTGTGTGTCGTTCGCGCGTGTGTAATTATACCTGAGGTGTGTAAAGCAACGGGAGTCATAAATGGGCTGACGTCGGGACCTAGATGAATATTATCACACACGTAGTAATAATTCAGAATAATAATCACTCGCGCCAATGAGGTTTGAGCTGACGTTCCACTCGGCTGACGGCGTGCAATGCGAAGGGGGACATTGTGTTGGATATCGGAGCGATCAAATTAATAAGTGTGAATTAACACTATTCAAAACAAATTGCCCCAAAGTTCTTAAATTAGATGGCTCTTTTTTCGGATATGGAAATCAGAGATTCAAAGTTAATTCCGGATGCTGAAGAATTTGTGGTGAGCAGCGCATTCGGGAGCGAACATGATTCAATTGATTTACGTGAATGAACTTCACCTAACTATGTCCGTTCAGGGATCGGTGGTTAGCAAGGCTATATAAACATACTTGTTATCTTGTAAACACACACTCCGCTACTGCTTTAATAAACTGGTTGAGCTACTCGTCATCGACAGTTCTACTCTCCTTTCGGTCGGGCCGTTTCAATGTAGATTGTCGACACTGGTGTGGTTTCTAAAACCGCACCGGGGCCCACTACAAATTCACTCCGTCCGGCATGGCTGAAGAACTTGGGGCTATGAAACTTATCTAGTTTTGTTACCGGAGCTTTCGGTGTTAATGAAGAGTTCTCAGAACAAGCTTTCGTTAAGGTATACATAGTGTCATGATTTTGCCGCCACGTACCGGATATTGATCAACATCTCCAGACACTGTTATGCACTTTGCTCTTCTTCGTTGTCGTGTTTTTTTTTTTTTACCGTGACTGATGTCTAGGGAACATTTACGTTGTCGTCGCCAAATACGCCTGAAAGTACGGATCAACTCTGGAGAGTCAGCGTCTTGCGCAATCTTGCATCCACTTTTGAATGTGCCTTTTTATAGTCAGTCACACATGACGTCCTGATATCATCTTGCTCATTTGCTCGAGCCAGCTTTACCTCAAAGACTTCGAACCACTTAAATACGTGTGAATTCGGGAGCAAAGATTCGATGCACACCCGTCTAAATGCTAAATGTAAACTAGGCGTCATGCTTTTCTCAAAGAAAATCTCACGTAACCTAAATAATCGGCACATGCGAACTGCAGGTTGCTGGTATAGACACTTAAAAGTAGGACACTGCTGGGTGTTAAGAGCTACGTTTGAGAAGATTGCACTAGTTCAGGTGTCAACAATATTGCTGGGATATTCACTTGATTCTCTCTAACAAGGAAAGCGTCATCAGTGTTCGAAACCCGGCTAGAACGGGGTTAACGAAATTATGTCGAATGAAATTAGCCCAAATTTCAATTGGCCAAATGATGTCACTGCTGATGCTTTTGGCTTTTTAAATGATTCTAGGAGAAGAACAGACAAATAAAATAAATCAGAACATTAAATGTTTAAAAAAGTGAACATCAGTAGTCAAGTTATGACCAATCATCAGTCTGATTAGATACATAGCTTAGGATTAGGCATTTCTTTAAATATAAAAATTGATCAGCGCATCCGGCAGTAAACCGTGGATACACTCGGATTTTAACTAATGGGCATTTTCTATTATAAAACTGAAGTAGGGGCTGCCAGTTTTCGGCTGAATTATGATTTAAACAACCTTGCGTTAGTGACCTTTGGCTATAGGGCTGCATATAATGGCAGCAATGCGATTATTCCTATGATCGACATGAAGAGATGAAAAAGTACTTGAGAAAATATGTCGCTTTGGGGAGACAATTAATATGTCGCCTCCTAAAACCTTTTAGAACTCCGTCAACAGTGGGAATAAAAAGAACGCGACTCTAGCGCGGCCGTCAAAACTAGTCATTTTACTGTTGTGTGTTCTTATTAACCAGTTATTTTGCGAGCGATGAAGTGGCAAGGCAAAAGGAAGAATACCCAAGAACCAGAGAAAATATTTGACCTCTTTTGGCGAGGGAACAGACTTTTCGTCAGAATCATTGCAGAATGGCCATCAAGGCTTCAGTAGCTGACGGAAGTTTTCGCGTACGAAGTTTAACTTAGTTTTCTAGCTGTAGATATATCATTGGGGCAAATTCAAAAAAGTAAGACGACATGGTGATTTTTATTATGCATGTAAATTAGATAAACCCATTAGATATCTAGGGTGTCCATAATGTCTGTTCTTAGGTCATGGGCTTTAAATGATTGCACATCCGGTCGTTGTCGCATCAAGTGAGATGTCCAACACATCCGTTACGATATAGATAGTTTATGTGAATGCGAGATGTCATGCAGAGTATTGGCAACATCAAATGGTTTTTACAAGAGCGACAACTAATAAATTATTGCACTCAACCAAGACAAATATATGTAAGATTTGTAGTAGGTTATTCTACAAGATGGGACCACTAGTATATAGCGGCAATGAAGATGAAACGTACTTGGTTGGGGAGATGAGTTTAAAAGAAGTTAAGACCCACAATCAACATCCTCACACACGTTTGAAAACATGAACCTTAGGACGACTGCTTGTAGGCGAATATGGGAAGCAAGGCCAAAATCATGAAATGAAATTTGGTAATTTTAAATTAATCTTAAATTTGGCAAGATAAATGGCACATAAGCTAGTTTAGGATATTAATGTGCCAGTCGCCTCGAATCAAGTATTTCCGCTATTGAAATCTTGATCCGATAAGAAGTTCATAGAAAATGATGCGGCATTCACTGGGTCACTGAATCTGGATGTATTAAGCTATATTATCAGCACATTTTGAAAGTCATGAATAGAACGAGTTGAGTCCGTGCTACATTTGCGTTTACATAGCTGGTCTGTAGGAGTGAGAGTGTTTAATTGCACATGTATGCACCTAGAGAGCTCAAAGCGATAATCAAGGATATGTGGCACACAATGGAATACAAAGGATTGAATAAATATGGTGATCAGGTATTTGGGAGCCGTGGTGATGGTGGTAAATTTTGGGGTTTTTTTAGAGCACATACATATATATGTTCAGAATGTAATACTGATAAACTTTGTGGTAAACGGTAGATCATATGCAAAATTACTTACTAATCGAAAATTCCGATCATATTTGTGGTTAAAATGTTACTAAATGGCAAAAAGGTAGGTTTATTTTAATTGCAGGTAATTGTGTATGCAAATACACCAAGTTATTTTCGCAAATGAGCAAGGGATTCTTTTGTGACACGCGCTATTCGATCAATGTACGCCGAACTGACCTGTTATTTGCTCTCTTCTTTCCTACATTCACTGCAAGTATCTCAGAGGGACGGACTGACAGTAAGCTACCCATTTATGTCCCCTCTCGGTAGGTACGTTGGAATTGGGAGAAATGAATAGACCTGAAAAGTGAACATAACAGCATGCAGATTGGTACATACTTGAGATGCTCACAATACTGTCATCTGTAAATTTAAAAAAAAATAATAGTTGCAGCTAGTCGTTCTGATTTGTTTGGCTTTTTTCAATGGTATACAGAGAAAAAAGTCTTTTTTTACTGTACTCAAAGATGTTTTATAGAAAAAATAACAGGATTTAGGATCAACTTGTAATCGAAAACCTTAAATAGATTGACCACAATCATCACGGATTTCATTACGTTTCTGCAAAAACACCATTTTTAAATCCTTTTCATGAAATAACTTGGACAAATTGAAATGTCAATTGAAATGATAACGAAATTTATTGAATTTTAAACCAAGCGAATCTAATGCAATATGGTTAATTTATTCGGTTATATAGTGGTGAAGACCATCTAGTTTTTCTATAGTGCAACAGTAGGCTTTTTAAATTCCATTGATATTAGAGTAATCACAGGTTAATAAATTAAATGTATCCAGGACTATGGACACTGCTTGCAGAAACTACTATAAACTGTCATTTAAATTTCTGGATGTTATAATTCTTCAAATTAGCCTAATTTAAGTGCAATTTTCTTCATTAAATTAATATAAATGTAATATTCAGCATTAGACTGGGCTTAATGTTTTAAGCAAACCTTTTTAATATAAAATTGTAAAGCAAGTTTATAAATTAGTGGTTTAAAGTAATGCTTCAAGTGTAAAATATTTTCTAATGACACATTAAGTTTTGTTTGTTTACATCAAACGCATCTCCATCTAAACTCAATAATTTAAAATTGCCATTTATTTTAAGGTCATTGGTTCTTATCTGCGCAGCAACAATCAATCAATTATTTTGACCAGCATATTTTAACTACTTTAACTGTTGGTATTAATCATTTAATTATAGTAATCAGTGAGTGATTTTGTTCAAATAGAATTTTAAGGGTTATGATCAGCTGCTCAGGTTGTCAAAATGGACATACCCTAGTGAACTTGAATGGTGGTGCTGGCAAAGCAGATTTATTGCCAACGTCAAACGAAGATCGTTCGACTTGTGAACATGAATATGACATAGAAAAGTCCGAATCTGATAGACGACTTTATCGTGTCCTCACTCTTCAAAATAAATTAAAGGTGCTACTTGTCAGTGACTTTGAAACATCCAAGGCATCCGCATGCTTATGTGTTCGTGTTGGAAGTTTCTCGGATCCCGTGGAATTGCCGGGATTGGCCCATTTTTGTGAACACATGATTCTGTTGGGGAGCCAAAAATATCCCGATGAGAACGAATATTCGAAATTTGTCAGTTCCCATAATGGGTTTTGCAATGCATACACATCAGCGGCTGAAACGTCATTTGTTTTTGACATTGCTCCTGAATACCTCCATGAAGCACTTGAAATATTTGCTGAGTTATTTATTACCCCTCGGTTTACGGAGTCGGCTGTTGAACGCGAAGTAGGTTCTGGTTTAAGCGTCTTAAGTTCAAACCTAGCGACACATTCCGTGTTCTATGTATGCTTTCTTGAACGGAATCGCAAATCATCGTTATAATTAAATTGTAATTGCACCATGTGTAGTATCTGTGTTCATTACTTCATCTCCTTTAGTTCTATTTCCAACTATAGAATAATTACGATGAAATTTTGATGCGAACAAAATTCTAGATCTTAATTTGCTTGTCACGCCAATTATTCCAAACGTGAAGTATGTATTTAAATGGAGTTGTCGAAATAACTAAATTAAATTAAAGTATCTATATCAAAAGTCTACAGTTCTCTTGAATCTTTTATCTGTGAAGACATCAATTTTTGACATTAACTCTTCGTCATTATGTTTAAATAAAGCTTTTCATAATACCCATAGTTAGATACAATGGCAGCCAGAAATTTAGTTCTGATTTAAATAGCTGACCTGAAATTAAAACGTGCATATCCAGTCAGCTTATCTCATGTCTTATTCATTTGACCTTACTTTAAAGATTTGTAAATGATAACAATAACACGAAATTCATTATTTGTTCCGGTTCACAAATAGACAGGAAAAGCTGTTTAAGTGTGGGTAAATAAACAACATTTTTAGATTAAAGAACATTTTCAAAATTATTTTAGGTAAATGCCGTGGATTCTGAACATGAGAAAAATCTCCCAAATGATCTTCGTCGTCTTATCCAGATTGATAAATTACTCGCTTCGCCAGATCATGATTATGCCAAATTCAGCACTGGCAATAAAACAACGCTATTCGACAACCCAAAAAAACAATCAATAAGCATTCGAGAGGAACTTGTTAAATTTCACGCAAAATTCTACTCATCCAATCTTATGGCTGTCACTATACTTGCCAAAGGTTAAAGAACGTTAACACTGATGGAAAAGTGCTATTTTTGGGCCTTGTCGATGCTGAACCTTTCCACATATAATGCCAAAGTTTTAAGCTAATGCATTTCCTCTTATCAGATGTTTTATGTATAATTTTTTTATTAAAATTCAACATGTCCCTCTCTTAATGATTTAAGTTTTAAATCTAAAGCTTAAAAACATCAAAAGTAAAGTTAAAATAAGCTTAGCTGTTTCAAAAAGGCGTGATAAATTTTGTAGTGGTAATCTGCATGAAAGTGCCAAAATTACTGCAGTGTTTGGTGCATATTGCCACTTTTTTAATGTTCTCCTTCTCTGTGTACTTCCGCTTAAGTGATTTTAGTAAATGGAATTAGTTAATTGAGAAAGCTTTTCAGGTTTATTTTCCTAGAGTCTCTAAACGTCTGTCGGCTAAAATGCACGTTGGCAAGGATTTTCGAGCATTTGATTTTTATATTCAGAGTCCCTGGACGACATGGAAATGAAATACGCCTCTCTCTTTATGAATGTACCTAATAAAGACATAGAACCGCGGTCGTGGTCTACAACGCCTTGGACAAAGGAGCATTTGCAGGTAATTTTATATCCTACTTAAAACCGACACTAAAAGCTCATTAAGCTATGCACTCTTTCTTGTGTTTAAGAAAAAAATTTTCATGGTTCCTGCAAAGGATATCCACGAGCTTCGTATGTTTTGGCCCATTAAAGACTACACCCATTTCTACAAATCCGAGGTAAGTATTACGAAGTATTACCAGTTAAATTTAGCGTCAATTAAAGAAAATATTTTTGTCATAGCGATGTAAAAACTTCTAAGTAGTGGTGAATTTGACTCTCTTACTCTGACCTTTGACCTGCGTACTTTTAAAGGCCAGCTAATGGGCCATTCTGTCGATGTCTGGTTATGCTTCCTTGTCCTCAGACGGCTGCATTTCCTTTGGTGACACAAGCTGTGCATCGTTATTGGCTTTTGTCTGTTGTCTTTCCCACTTCACTCTTAACTGTGGCCGCAGAGCAGATAAAAAGAAGCATTTTCATAAATCGTGCACTGTTGAAGTAATTTCCTTCGCTAACTGCTGACTTTGGCGTTGAATTTGTATTACTGGAACTAGCTTTTGTCATCATACCACAACACTCACTTGTTTAGGGTTAAAACACATGGTAGGCGTTTGCCTATCATTACAATTTCATTTGCCTTGCAATGCTTGTAACTTAATTAAAGTTAAAAATAGCTCTTCAGCCATTTCTTCAAAACATCGTATTTATGGTCAGGCATCTTGTGCATAAAATTCGTTGGCCTTGAAACCGTATGTTTATGAAAATGACCAATGCAGTTGAATAAAATAAACATATCAACCGTTTTACGCATGTTTCAGCAGCACGTTTTTGTTAGGCTATCTACAACACAATTTGAGAGGAGGTTTTCGACTTTTGGCATGCTTCCTAGTCTTGTTTTGCACCTAGCCCTCAAGGTATCTTGCACACCTTCTGGGCCACGAATCCTCCGGGAGTTTGCTGAGCGCCCTGAAGAAGAGAGGCTTCGCTAACGACATCATCACAGAGACTTACCGACCTAGTTCGGGTTTCGCCTGTTTGACACTTCGCGCCATTTTAACAGAAAAAGGCATCAGTACGTTTGCATTAACCTTTTGCTGTCCATAATGTAATCGATGCTGGTCTTGCAAATTTTACTCTTCAATCACATTGCTTCTTCAAGGTCGTTGTTATTGACGAAATTGCTGTGATTAGTGGGTGGTTACTTAGAGTGTTTACGCAGTTGTGGTGGTATTTGTGGCTGAGCATCAGATGCCGCCACAGCTTCCTTAGTAATCTTGAACATACTCAAACCCAGTCTCTTACCTGCAGCCGTCGAGTTCTTGATAATTTCTACGCACACAGGTATTCGCTGTTAAAAGGGCTACACTAGACCTAGTCCAAGGAGCAGTTTATTCTTAACTGGATTACCGACTATTTTGATGCAATTGGTATAGGTTGAATTTCGTTAAAAAGATTGATTTCTGTCGACAATAGTCCCACCTCCTACCGTTATTTAACGAATGAGTGACAGCACGCACAATCTAGCACGTAGTCAGGTTACGAAATCATGGATCATAGTTAAAAAGCATCGTCTAGCATTTGCACAGTCGTACATGAGAATATGTTAGCCCAAATATGTCCGTCTTCTACGGATCATTTTCCCAAAAAGAGGCAAATGTACTTAGTAGGAAAAATATGCTTCTCGGCCCAAATACCGTGATTATAACGGATTGGACGTTACTCGCATGTTTGAAAGTTATCTAAATCAACTGTACCTGCCTACAAGGTAGTTTGCCTGGTTTAAAAATCGGCATAGAGTATATGGCTCGTCAAATATTCAGTGGATTTTGGTCTAACTGTGTTGCCACCATTCATTTTAGGTAATATCGATGATATTATTACCATCGTCTTTCAATACCTACATATGCTGAAACAAGAAGGAATCCAGGAGTGGATTTTTGACGAAGAACGTGTAGGTTTTTTGTTGAGTGCACTGATTCGGGAAGAGAAGGCGTCTTTTCATTACTTGATATTCTATTTATAAATCAAGGCCTATTTTGAGTAAAGGTAGTTAGTTAAACCACAAAACCCGGTGCTACCTCTATCTTGGCACGTGCAGATCTCACTCAAGTAACCTGGAACACATATTTGTCTAGAGAAAAACTGAAAAAAAATGCAAATTTGAAATGATTTTAAGAATTATACATGCGGGAGCTACATAAAATGTGAGAAGCCCTTAACAGGAAACCTGATTGCTGTCTTTAATTCTTCATTAGCTAATAATCAATCACACCCGATGCTTGATTATAATTTATGCCTAACTTAAATCAATTATTTCAGGATTTGGAGGCCCTTCGCTTTCGCTTTAAAGGCAGCGAAGAGCCCTTCGACTATGTCGCAAAACTCTCCTCTCGAATGTTTGTAAGTTGAGTATCCTCAACAAGGAGCTAGCTGCCTCTGTTAACCAGACCACAACAGGAGCTGTGTTTGGATTAATTTTAGTTATATCCACCGAAAGACGTTTTAACTGCGTCACACCTTCTCAGTGAATTTCGACCTGACTTGATTAATGAAATTTTGTCGTGCCTTGGACCAGAAAACCTCAGGTACTTTTTGTTTGACCATTCAAACGCCTAACGGTCTCTAAGTTCCCAAGGCTATTCGTCATGATGTAGTTTCACCGTTTTAAGACATGTGGCAGTGTTCTGGTTACATAGAACCTCAGCTGGTCGGTTCGAATTTGAAACAGACTGTGAGACATGAAAGAGATAAGGTGCTGGGTTTTGCACGCCTTGCTTATAAAATAGCGACAGCGTTCTTTGCAGTGACAATATCAAAAATGCAACAGCTGATTCTGAGTTCCCTATAATCTACAACGTTTAGAAAAAAACAGTCATTTCGTCTAAATGTGCCATTCCGTGCATTCATCAGTTGGCTTTTCCTTAATTGAACAGTATACCCTGCTATATGGAACAAGTAAAATTCCAACATGCCTCATTTATTTACACATCTTTTTTTAAACAGATGTTTCGTCCTAAGCCGAAAAGTTGCGGAAAGATGTAATCGGACGGAGTATTTTTATGGAACGCGCTATGGCTACGAGACAATACCACATGAGACGGTGGAGGTAGGTGTCTGGTGGTAATCAGCTCTCTGTGACGTCATACTTGACTGAAAGCTGAAGTTTATATCACGCATTCCTGTTTAAAATCAAGCTCGATTGTTGCTTCTAAGTGGTTAATAGTGGTGATCAAGGAAAATAACGGATTTGTGAGAATCACAGCAGTTACCAGAGTGTACACACATCCCTTTCCAACTGAATGCACATACGGTCCTTGAAGTTTGTCAATTATCAGCACTAACTAATTAGCTAGCATGCCCCCCACCTTCGCCAACGCATTGCTGGATGCCCTTGTGTCATGCATTTTTTTCTTCTCCCACTAATTTGGCGTTGTCTCTTGAAAAGGCACAAAAAAAGTTAAGTAGTTACCAATACGTGAAAAAACGCCATCGTTCAAAACTATTGGGGCGCACCATTAACCTTTACCGTAGGTGAATCAGGCTTGCTAATTTACCTCAGAAGACTGATTACACATTTCCCTGAATTGCAAAGTAAATTGTCTATGCCCACTTTCCCACTCTTTTCCAGTACACACCTAATGCCTGACTGGATACCTAAATATTATTAGTATACACGAGGAGTTCAAAATCAACATTAGGAGAAATCCTTACTGTCCCACAATTAACGAATGATTTGGAGAGTGTGTTTTGCTTAACCAAGTACCACCGCCTTGATGCTTGCAGGCGTGGCGAAATTGTGGCCTTAATCCGGACCTCCATCTTCCACCAAGGAACCCGTACATGCCGTCCAACTTTGATCTGAAGTGCCATTTGGACCCTGATCCAGAAGATGTGCCATCTGGTCCACGAATTGTTCTTCAGAACTCGGGCACACGGCTTTGGTTCAAGCAAGACAGCGAGTACAAGCTGCCTAAAACGTTTGTCAGCTTTAACCTCATTAGGTAGGCATTCCGTTTTAATATATACGCACCAGTAATTAAGCGATCTGTGAACGGTTTCATATAACGCATCTGTTATAGTTTGGCTTTAGTCGAAAGAAGAATTTCTGCAATCATGATCAGTCAAGCATCATTGCAAGTAGGATCAAAGGCAAAATATTACTTGTCTAGTTTGATATAAAAAGACAATCTTACTAGTTCGTTTAAGACATCCCTGATTTTTAAACCAAGATTATCCTCTGTAGAATGCTTCTAATTGAATAATTGCCTTGAATTTCGACTGTAAACATCTCACACCGGAAGAGCCGTGAACTCTTTTGGCTTGGTGCAATACCACCTGGCATAAACACAGGCTATGACGCAAAATGTAAGCTCGTTCATGTCCTATCATAGACATGGATTTGACGTAAAATTCAGACCATCGAATGCGTTTACCGGCAAGTGAAATACGGACACAAGATGTTTTGACGTGGCTTAGAGGCGTTAAATTTATATTAAATGCAGCGACTGACGTTGTTTTGTATTTCATTATGCCTTAAATTTTGTTTCTAATTGATTTAGTCCATTCTGGACGTCAGACCCCGTCCGAGATCTGATGCTACAGCTGTTTGCCAGTCTCTTCTACGACAGCGTGAACGAGGATTCTTACCTTAGTAGTCTCTCGGGTCTATATTTTAACATTACGGCATTTGCGCCAACCCTTCGGGTGAGTTAGTGCTTTCAGCTACTCTGTGTCTCCTCAAGTAGCTAATCTCATTTATACTGAAAGCAACCGCAAACCTAATTTAATCCACGCGAATTCATTCTAAGTGCATGAAGGCGCACACTATCAAATGGGCTTTTTCACGTCCACTCGTCTTTTAAGGAAAGATTGAAATTTAGATGGTTCATACTCAATAATCGGAGTAATGTTCAGTGGAGCACGTGCCAGACCCCCGGAACACTTAGCATGTGACGTGTGTGCCGCTGTGTCCTTCCCATGAAGCAAATGCCCATGCTCGGTGTGGCCGGTAGTACACTTTCAGTTGTGGATCGTCTTCAAGTCACTACCGAATGGTGCCACCTGATCCGTTAAGCCTGATGGCTGGGAGCAACGAAGCATTGTTGTGTTAATGCAACTACCGTCAATTTAATTGATCAGGTGACCCCTTTGTGCTGAGCCCTGAAATATCTGAATAAGTGAACAGAACCTTCAGATTTTCTGTTTCTTACTGTTTTTCAATTATGATGTCAAGATGCTAACCAAACTATTCATTCGTTAAAAGTAGTTTACTGGAATAGTACCAGAAAAAAGTTTGACGTGTGATAATGGAATAGTCTTTACGACGATTGTCTCAAGTATTTTGCCACACTAAATTGTTACAGGCGATAACTTTCTCTTCAGTAACCTAATCATCTCATACATATCTCACTTTTTCTCCAATTTCTAGGAATGTTTTTAAAATTTAATTATTTACGCGCCTCATGACAAAAGTTCTTTTATGCCGTAGTTGACCTTCAACGGGTACAGTCACAAGATGCCAGTGTTGGTAGAAACACTAGCAAATCAGTTGTTGCAGTTTATGAAACCAGACACAGAGCGTTTTAGCTGTTTGCTGAAGAAGTTGGAGCTCCAAGTGAAGAACTTCAAATCACTTCCGCCATTCGATCAGGCGGACGGGTACTGTGCCTCCACCATCTTCGACCGCACGTGGGTGCACGAGGACAGGTGTGCGGCGGTCAGTGGTCAGTGTTCCCTTCCACCTTGCCCCAGCCATCATTTAATTCTCCTGATTAAATAAACATCGCAACGTGGCAATGTGGGCTCGTTTAAGGCTTCATGGTGTGTGTGCTTAAAGTGGTCATTAGGATCCAATTTAGGCGCATATTTTGTTCGCTATCTCAAACTAAAGTGAAACAATGGGTCCCGTTAATAGCGGTGCTCATCGGAAATCTACAGTGCGTTTAGCTTCTAAACCAGATCTGAGTAGTCATAATGGTTTTTAGTCATAACCACCTACCGTTAACTTGAAAAACATGCATTTAGCTAAAAATGAACTAATCAGTAATAAGCACTCAGGTTTCCCTGACTTTAATACCAGACGTTTTATAGAACGACCTGAATAAATATACCAGCGTATTTTTAGCTGATTTCAAAGCGTTGATTTAGTTCTGACTGATACCTTTTCTATGCTAAGACGTCCACTCAAATAAGCGCACAGCCAGCCCAAGTATGATCATTCTTCTTTTATCAGATGCAAAATTGGCATCCGCTCAGTACAATGTCATAGTGCATTTGAATGGCGAGATAGGATCACCCCAGTCTATTTTGGTCCGGCCACGGTAACAAAACTCATCGAATGGTGTTGGTGCAGATATACACCTTCTAGTGCAATATTTTCTTTGCTAGGAAAATCCAAGCTTAGGAAAAATTAGCACTCAAAAATTTTGTAAACAAACTACTTAACTGTATCATTGTTTTTTAGCGCATAGTCCCAAAGTAGACAAATTTTTTCATCTAACGCACTTACTCTAAGCAACATGAATGAAGGTGGACTAAATGAGCTTTGATACGTGCATCTAAATTTTAGAGATTACCTACGAAGAATTGCTGCTTTTTATACCATCTTTTTTTCGCCGTATATTTGTGGAAACGCTTGTGTACGGGAATGTTAGCAGGGAGGTGAGCTTACAAACGGGCCTCGCTGCTCTCTTAAAGCAGACCCAGTCGTATGCTCATTTTTTATCAACTTTACCCAATTTTTTTCACCACAGGAAGCTCTGAAATTTAACGAAATGATGACTCAAGCCCTTGAAAAACACGTGAACTGGCATCCACCCGTGGCGTTTGCATCCCCGCTCATGCGTGAAGTTGAAATCCCTACAGGTTGGCCGAACACTTTGTTCTGGTATTGCAAAACGTTCACTAGATCCAGTGTTTCATAAACTCCTTCAAATTTTAATAACCGTGCGAAAGAGGAGGTGTCCAATTTAGGCATGAATCTCTTCAAACAAAGACATTTAACACTTATTTTTGTTAAAGCACGAACCATAATCACTTCACAAACAAACCATTGTCAGACATCAAGAAAAAACCATGTTGTCAACACCTTAAAGTGCTGGGGAGTGAGGGTGGCTCTCAGCACAGCCTCTTTGATATTTATATTTTAACTCAGTGCTTTCATTGCAGGATTTCTAGATTAACTGAATTGTTTTATCGAATTCAATGAGAAGATCAACAAAGAATCCCATATTTAGCGACCACAAAATCCGATTCTTTCTCAGCAGTATTTTCAAAATTTATCGTAGGGCCAATAAATCTTATTATCTACTTACAGACCTGCCGACTTGATATCTATTAGACAAGGTGGTTTTTAAAGCCCGGACACCAATTTTGTCCTCGCATAATAATTAAGTATTAATTTCACATCCATGTTGCAATTTCTGTGAAGTTATGAGGAAAGGCGCCATGGACCTGTTTTCTATGGTAATCCTAGCATCGAAGCGTGCAGTAAAGTCGAACATTTTGGTCATGCGGAATCAGTCTTCTGGCGAGTATCTTATGCCCAGTCTTTTTTGAAAAGCTACATTTACTCTAGTACATTTGAAAATGGAGTCATCTTGATCGATCATATTGCTGTAAATTACTTGCAAGCCTCATATTTCGTTAGCTTTGTACATTCCTCATTCACTTTATGGGCAGTGCAGTTACCTGAAAGAATTCTTGGTTATTTCGCGAAGTAATCTGGTGTCTACTTAACCAAACGTCCCTTTTAAAGGCAGATACGAATAAGATATTGAAACTGTGTTTATCAAGTTTGCAAATTAAGTGTTTCGCCAGTCATCCTACGCCATTCAAACATTCCTTGCACACGAAATGTTCCACGCATGCAATCGACTGCCATTCTTTGGCAAGCACTAAAGTCTGAACAGTATTTTTAAAGGCCTTTAACCCGTGATTGTGCGGCCTTGTGTGCATGTGCCTAACTGAATGCCCTTCAATGCAGACAAAAGTACTTTTGGTCATTGCATCAGCTGTTAAAAGACTGTCAGCTGGCTTCTTTGGTCAATACGTGTGCTTTTTTGAAAGCCTTTCCTTCATTTGGGATTACTTCCATTAACTGAATCCTCAATGTGACCAATCCATCCTCGACATCCAGATTAAATCAGTGCGTATTCGGTGATAAAATACAAGCATCGTTGAACCAAAACTACCAAATAGTCCATTTCTCCTGACGTTTTTCAGGTCTTAGGATTAAGGCCCAAACATTACTCTAGCTAATTCACAATGAATTACATTACTAATAGTTAGGTACAGGTTGGTGCATGATTTTGTGTCTATATAAAAAGGACGTACTTGCCTAATTGGCATTAAGTATTTTTGATCTCTTAACTGATTTATCCATCAGGAGATTTGACCTATCACTTTTCATTGTAAGCAGTGCAGATTTGTTCTAATTTTCAATTTTCTAACATATTTTCAGGCCTCCCTCACATTTACAAAAGTGTAAATACGGGGAACCCGAGTTCCGCTATCCTCGTCTACTTCCAGTGTTCTCCCGTCACCGTGGAGGAGTGCGCTATGCACCGACTCTTCGAGCAGATTATTCGTGAACCCGCATTCAACACTCTGCGCACGGAGAAACAGCTGGGTTAGTGAGCAATGGCGTCTCCCTCAGTCCAAAAATATCACTTGCTATAAAGTCTTCTTTAAGGAATCGAATTCTCGCTTGTGTTTGCCTAACTTGAGACGCTGGCAAAAGAAGGACTCATTGCTATTTAAACACCTGACTCATTTTCCAGGGCCACGAAGCCTTTACTAGCAATTTCTAAATATCGATTTGCCACACAAAATGCTTTCATTCATTGGCATTTGGTGGTTGTTTGCTCTCCAATGCGTTAATTTAATTCTTTACACTTTGACGTGTGTGTGTGTGTGTGATCCACCTGAGGTTGTTTTTTAGCGTTTGCCAACGAAAATATTTTTCACTTCACCCATCGATACACTGTTGCCGCTGGGTCTTCCTATGGCTCCGCTGTGCCTAAGCGGAGTCGTCGTTTAAGCTTTGCAACGAAGCTTCCGTTGGCTACTTGTATTAAGCATCTCAGACAGGGAATAAATAAAACCGATGAATTGCTTGACATTCTTCTTTAGTTGCATAAACCTGTTTTGCAAGGCAAGGAGATTCACTGATGCTTCGTTTTCACTTCGGTTAATCCACACTAGCCCCTTTCTCTTATCGCATGAACATGCGACGAAGCCCTAAAATAAATTGACCCGAATTTCTCAAAAGTGCTTTGCTAAAGTATTTAGATGTCTAAAATTTTACGAATTTTTAAGGGACACATGTTTTTTGTGCTCGTAATTGCAGGATATATTGTTCGCGCTGGATGGCATCAGTCGAACACGCGCCAGGGCATTAATATAATCATCCAGTCGAAATACCACCCAAGGGATCTGGATGAGTTTATAGAAGAATTTGTTGCCGATCTGGAGGTGCGTTATCCTGCTTGATGTTGTTTACGTTGCTTGAGACATTCTTACGTTGGAATTTTGCCAGATCTACTACAACGAAGAAAATTGAATTATCAGTTGCCAGGAGCCATGCCTTTTTCGTGTAACTTTTCCTGTTGAGCATTAGCCAGAGATGCACTCAGGAATATCTTGAGAAAAATCCCCCTTATGATCGATTTCCTAGGGAAGGAGTTAGTTCTGTGGTGTCTTCTAAACTTGTAGCAAGTAAATAAACATACCGGCTTACACAGTTCCATTCACTATTGGTTGTTCATATTTTCTAATTTTCAAACGTAGCTAAATCACTTCAAAGGCTATCTTCAGCGGTTTATTACTTAATTATTTACTAGTAGTCGTAAGCCACTTATGCCCACCTATCCGGACAATAATACTTTAGTGCCAGATACATAAATACGTCTTTCTGTTTTAGGAGAAGTTAGTGAGCATGCAGCCAATGGAGTACAGTGAACACGTAAACTCGGTTGTTTCGAATTTGCTTGAAAAGCCCAAGAATATGAACCAGCAGTACACACAATACTGGTCACAAATCATCCGACGACGTTATGAGTTTGATCGGTGTAAGTTTACGGTAGGAGGAGTCCCGTCTCCTATTCTCTGTGGCGCCATCACACTGGTGTATCGGTCGGTGCCTTGTCGCACTTCTCAAATCATTTTAAAGAAATGGCTCAAATTACATGTGACCCATGGTAGGAAATACGATGTCTCCTCTTTGCGACCACCATACTGATTACACAAATCCCTTTATATTCATACAAATGTTTTCGTTCAAGTTTAGATGTCTGTTATCATGTCCGTGTGACCCACGTTTGCAGACGTCTTATTCTTAAATTTACAAGCCTCTCCGACAACGCTTTGTGCTTTAGAAAAAAGCGACTACAATAGTAGTTTTCTCTACACTTTCTACTCCTGTTAGTCGAAGCAGATTTAAGCATATTAAGGAGTAGCAAGAAATATCAGTTTTCTTTGATACCAAATTAGTAACTGCGCCTTCCTTAGCAGCTATTTTAACATATAACAAATTTCAGTGGAGCGTGAAGCAGAAATTGTTCGGAACACTGAAAAAGAAAAAGTGCTCAATTTTTACAGGGTGAGTTTGTGTAGTGTTGTCTGCCCTTAAGTGCATTGATGGCTTGATTACTGATGCCAAAGAACTGATACCGTAGAAGGATTTTCAGAGCACAGATCAGTGAAATTCTTTTCGTTTTAGACTCATTTTAAAGCTGCCTCCAGTCAAAGAAGAAAACTAGCAATATATGTAATTTCTGAAAATGCGCCCGCAACAGACAAGCAAGATACCGTAAGCCATTTGAATACACATCTAAACTGACCACTTCGAGTTAGACTCCTCTTACAATAAAGTGCAAACAAAAGTGATTTACGTTTAAGATTATCAGAAAAGGGCGTTTGTAATTGACCAGTACGTTTCCATCGTTTGCATGCGCGGAAGTTTAGCAGGGCAAAAGCAGCACTATTTAAAGCTGCATGAAAACAAACCCATTTACATGTATGGAGTTTGGGTTTCGTTTTTATGAGAATCTCAGCTGGCAGTCTGGTCCTTTTCAAGATCCTTGTTCGTGTATAACATTAGATTTAGCAACACTGGTGCCTTTATCGCGTTTTAAGGCGTGTTATTTAACGTTTTATGACCCATAATGCATTTGCCACAAACTAATTTTTCATCATTTTGCTAAAGGGTTTAATTATTTCGAATCCAACGGCTTTCAAACTCAGTAATCCCCTATGTAAATTCTCCACCTCATCCGACCTTCTGTTCTGCAATGCTCCATTGATGAAGGCAAACGAAGGGGTTTAAGACCAACCGCAATTTTGCTAACTGTAATTAACGTATTTAATGGTTTTTTTTATATTTTAACGTTTTTTGAACTAGTTTTTCTTCAATGATCGGTTTTTCTCGTTTGAATTATGTTTGCTCCTTTTCTTTTTTGTTATTTCTCTCCAAACCGTCTAATAAAGCCACCTGCAAGCACCTGGTCCCACATTTGTACAATACAACCTTATAAATAATATCAACAATATGTATTTTTTTACGTATCACAAGCTGAAAGATTTATTTGTGGAGCCTTACAACTGCAAATATTTCAAAATTGTGCAATATAAAAAACCACGGCAACAGCCATGCATTTCACGACAATCGTCAATGTAAGCCAAACCCCGCTCGTGGTTTATATTTTAAATATACTTTAGAATGTTACTTAAGAAGGTACATTTAACTACAACTCTGCCAAAAATAGCATTGCTATCTTTTTAAAATAGTTACTGAATGCAAACGAAATATTTCGCGTAAGTGCGTAAAACTTTATCAGAATCTTTTAATTTCCTTCAGTGAACGGTTTTCGTCAATTTCAGGACGCCCAAAAAGTGGGAAGCGTGAAATTGTTTCATAATGTCGGATTCAACAAAGCACATAACATGACACAAGTGATTGTAAAGATTAGTTTTTCAAATACTGGAACACGTTACTTTCACTTGGCCCCAAAAGCAGCTTTACTTTTATCTTGTTATATGCGTTAAATGTTTTGGCTTAAGTAAACTTGGCAAAAGTATAACAGATGGCGTACGTATCTGTAGGCAAATGAAAGCTGCACTGATGTGGAAACAAATCGTTACTGTTCACATTTCGGTTGTACTAATTCACGCTAACTTAACCTTAAGTTTATTACTTACTGCCGGTTTCCCGATTGCCCAAGTATAAATATTTTATTTCTATCAAAGCACATTGCAGATCAAAAATCTAGCAGGATTTTTGATTTTTGTGATACGTTAGAAAAGACGTAATTTGTGTAACTCACTTGCGACAGCTAATTAAATTTTTTCAAAATCACAATTTTTGTTTACGATAAATAAACCTTTACTCAAAAGATTTGTTCAAAATAAAAAAAATTATGACACAGACGTTATTAATTCACGAATATGACCTCCATTGAATTTGGACGTCAGAAGCCAATATAAAAATGAGAGGTTAACAAATAATGACAAAAGTAAACATTTTCTTTGAGGCCACACAAGTATTAACCTTGGTATAGAGGAATATTCACATTCAACAATACGTAAATAGGCACCACAATATTTCGCTTAGAATTTCAAGACGCAAAAATAAATGGTTATTTAATGATAATATGATCAACCAAGGGATTAAATCAATTTTGTCAGTTTTTGATAGTACAAATAGTGTTTTCAATGCAATGTAATAAAAAAAACATTAAACAGTATAAACGCATTTTTGAATATTTCTGGCTATCATCGATATTAAAACAAAGGGAAGACCAACATATTTGGTTATATAGATTCGACTTAGCCAAAATTATTAGATGCGATGATATTGAGAGGTCAGGGAGTCAGTTAAATTACAGGGCGATTTACAGAATTGCTAGCTTTAGGTTGTACATTGAACAGCAAGTTCATTCTCAAAGTTAAATATTTTAATCACATATTGTATGAAATCATGATATTCATTAAAAGCTTCCTATTCTGCAACAGCACTGCATGACTGCTCTACTATGAAAGGGCTATTTATTCTTAGTGGCAACCTCTAAAAATCAACTGCATTTCATAGCTAAAGAACCTTATCAAAAATGATTCCAATTGATATATAGCTTATCAAACACTGAAATTAGTTATTTTTAAAGGCTTTACATAAAATAACTGCCGTGTTGAAAATGTTAAAAGCGTTTTTCAGATAGCTAATTTACAGAAGTGATGAAGTCAGAAAATTGTTATTAAAAGAGTTCAGATGGCTGTGTTTACAAAATCATTTTTAAGCTCATATAATGAATTGCTTTCTTGACATTAGGTCAGTGGTTCGACTCGCTATTTATTAAATCAAGTCCAAAAGTCACTTTGAAAATATCATCAAATCGCACAGGCAACAGGAACACATTTTGTTGACACGTTCATCGCATTCTTCCACTGTAGATTGAGCAAAACGTTTCTGATAAAAAGGATTTTAAACAGTAACTATGACTAACACTTTAAATCATGAATATTAGGGCATTAATTTTAAAGTTAACGAAAAGAAATTACTTGATGGTTTGTTGTATAAAATCACGTGCAGGTCTGAACTTGATAATTAGGTACTAATCAATGTTTTTATATAGTGATATTATGTATATAGGGCATTACTTATTTTTACTGGTTACTCATACTTCAATAATGTGTTTAAACCTCCAATATTTAAGGTGACGCATTAATTTGGTGTGCATCTGATGGGAAAAAAGCAACATCAATCCGACAAGCTGTAGGACCTTTCTGATATGCTTATTATCTAGTTATATCACTAACACAGAATGGACTACATTGTATGGTGGAAAGAAAGCTGCTGGTGCTGGGCAGGTCCGCTTTCGTCGCCTACCATTTAACTGTTGCAGGTATTAACACCTAAATTAATGAATTTGGATGTCTTTTAGTATATCCTTTCAACCATTTTCTGTGCCCTATTGTACAAAGGATGGTGTTGTTTTTGACTTGGAGTATGCATCATAATTTAATAATATTATTCATAGGAATGTTTTGCCGTTTGTGAAGAAGTATGGCATAAATCCTGTGACGGGAAAGGTTTTTCTCTCTTAAAGGTAACATTTTTTTTAGAAAATGAAAACAAACGAGCTGATAAAATTAAACTTCAGTAAAAACTCAGAAGGGAAGTATCATTGCCCAATCACTTTCAAGGTTTTCAACCAGAATACTCATATTGTCGCTGTTAGAACGACAGGAAACGTCTATGCTTTTGAAGTATCCATTTCTTTTATCTCATTTTTGTAGGCGGTAGAGCGTCTCAACATAAAGCCTAATAACTACTTGGATCTCCTCACGTCAGAACCTTTCACTAAGCAGGACATCATAACAATTCAGGATCCATCAAAGTTGGATAAATTTAATATCTCTGCTTTTTACCATGTAAAACATAATGTCTCGAAAAAAGGTTAGCATTTCTTAATGGTAACATATGTTGAGGTGGTGAAAATTTGTCCACTATTCGAACACTTAACCCAGAAACAAAGGAAACCCTTGCTGAGTTGGAGAAGATTGATATCGATATACCTGATTATATGTATACCAATAAGCCTAATAAGACTAGCAGCGGGCCTATACGAGATGTCTTCAATACAGCACACTATTCTACCGGGAAGGCAGCCGCCTCTCTTACGTCAACTGTAATGGAGCCTACCGTTGTTGTCGAGCCAGGTACAGAAGCTTCCCTAAGACTTACCTTGTAGCTATTCTGGAGGAAGACGTTGTTAGATATCGCTATGTGAAATCAAAAGGTTTTGTTCGCTTAGTTACTTCGTATGGGAATTTAAATATGGAACTTCATTGCGATCTGGTACCGAAAACTTGTGAAAACTTTATCAAATTATGCGAGTCCGGCGTATACAATGATACAGTTTTTCATCGCGTTATCAGGCATTTCATTGTAAGTCAGCTGCACAGTCTATAAAACTTTCAGATCCAAGGTGGCGACCCTACGGGAACCGGTCTGGGTGGCGATTCTGCGTGGGGTGGCAATTTTGCGGACGAATTTAACGACACACTGAAGCACGATAGCCGGGGAACCCTATCGATGGCTAATTCGGGTCCAAACACGAACCGATCCCAATTGTAAGGCTGAGTTTTGTACTGACAGACATAGCTTTATCACCTTTAGGCCTTGTCCTCAGCTAAACAAAAAGCATACCGTCTTTGGAAAGTTAGTTTTAGCCTCTAATTACTCAATCCATGTAGAGTTGTTGGAGGCTTAGATACGTTGGACAAAGTCGAATTGGTGGAAACTGATAAGGATGACCGTCCTCTTGTAAATTCACTGTTGGAAAAACTAATGTGCTGATTCGTTTGTTTAGGAAGAAGTCAAAATCATAGCCACCCAGGTTTTCGTGAATCCCTTTAAAGAAGTTGATGAAATGCTGGCTCGTGAACGAGAGGCACTAAAGTTAAGGGAGTCCGCGGCCCTCCTGGAACCAGAGACACCGAAGCCAGGAAACAGACGCGAAGAAGAGGCCATGGAAGCTGCTAAACGCGCCAGAAAGAGGGGTAATAAAGGTAACTTAGCTACCAAATCGCTAAATATGTTTGTCTTGTTTGTTACTGCTTTACTAGGGCAGATCATATTACCGACTTATTTGTTTGGTCTGTTTTGGGACTACCATTTTTTTCAGTTCGTCTGTTCTCCTTCAGTATGAATGTGGCTAATAATTTCTGGCAAAACATGATGATAATTGTGGTATATTTACACCTACACATTGACCAAGCTCCACAGTAATGTTCTCAATTTTAGACGTCATCTCAGAACAAAGAACGGGGGTTGGAAAGTTTGTTGTTTTATCTTCTGAAGACACCAAAACTGAATCAAATCCAGAGCTACTCAATAAGAAACGCAAGACCGTCTTGAAGTCTACATTATCGGATTTCAGTGCATGGTAATCATGTAAATAGGTTAGATTTTAACTCATTTCTAAATGCAAGCATTCTTCAGAAATCCTATCTGTACTACCTTATCATTTACAACGCCTGTTTCGTTGGGTTTGAGGGGATCCTACAGTCATCGGAAAATAAATCCGTCGCACCTTTTTAAAGCAGCTTTAAATGATTTCGGAGAATAAAGTGTTGATGAACATAAAAGAGTAGTTTACAGGATGGCCAAAGAACGAATAGACTGTATATTACGTAGTCATCTATGCCTAGGTGGTCGACTGTCTGGGACAGGCGGACTCGTCAGCATTGGTGTTGCCGCCCGAGGCTCCACTTGCTCCATTGGAAGTGGGAATTGGGAGGATACTTGGCGAGAGATTAAGCACGATATGGGATATTAGCTGCTCGACACTCTGCTCGAAGCATCTACAAATGTGGTGGTCGTATCAAGCGAAAACAGAGCTTACTTGAGATTGCTGGGGTGTAGATGCTGACGAATATCTGTAAAGACCTCCTCAATGCATCCAAGCTCACTGTTAGTCATTCTGTTTTCTTGTAGGTGCTAAATGCAAAAGCGTTTACTTGGTGAAAAGTAGAACGTACTGCTAATAAAGTCAAAATCGATGTCAGCTTTCCCACTAAAACCAGTTTTGACTCATCAACTGTAGTGGGACCCTGAAATTAAGAAAGAGTAAGTGTTCGAAGTTACCAAAAGGAAAGGTCATATTGCTGAAACACTAAACACGACTAATTTTGGATTCAATTAACTGCCTAGCGCCATTGATGTGTTTGGCATTTTGTTGCTGAACGACAGTTTGCTTTCTAAATCAGAGTACGCTGAGGAGATTTCAGTAGGATAAAATGCTTAGTACCGTTTAATAGGCACATTCTAGGATAATGCAAGTGGTCTCAGAATTGGACTATTTTAACATGCGGGCCTGATGTTAGGTTAACTTCGTGATCTATGAGCAATTCGTTGCCAAAATAAGGCAGTCTTTTATATCTTGACTAAGACTAAATCGACTACATAATTGAATAGTCTAAATCTGCATGCGATAACGCCGGTTGAATTACACACAGACAATGTGGAATAGTCAATATTATAGAACGGAGCAACGATGTAGAGTTTGAGCCCGAGTAATTCGCTTTTGAGCGTTCAAACTTCATTTATGGGTTACGATAAATGGACTATCCATGAATCATCACCACTACGTTAAGTGTTTGTTGCTTTTGTTTCAAAACGCGTGAGCCTAAGTGCATACAGGCGATAAAGGTAATTCAACGAACTTGTGATGTCTTCAACCTGTTGACAATATCGAAGGCCTCATCCTCACATCGCCTGCGCCAGTCTGTGACAAACGCGACATCTTGCATCCCGTAATCCGAGGCGATCTGAAACCGAAATCACCATATTGCACATATTCTTTGGGTCAGACGTTGCAACAAATAGAAATGACGTAGTAATCGCCATCGTCGTAGCATTTGCCTCTGATAAGTGTGACAAAACCTAGCAATTCAAGTTGAAGCCAACAATCTGCTTAATTAGTCGATGTGTAGTTAATGGCTAGAAGGGGCGCTCAAACAAACCAAATGAACCTTAAACCAACGAATGAAACAACTCAAGCAACCACGAAACTCCGACTAACGTAAAACCCAACGAATCAGGTATGAGAGTAAGCTACATCACAAGGTCCGAATGTTGGTGGAATGGAGTTGGTCATCATTTCTTGCCCTTCGTATACTGGAATCATTGAGGGCTGCGGATTTGACATAGAAATATGAAACTCCCGGTCGTGATAGGGTGTGGTATACTCTTGTGTGAGACTGGTGGGCGAGGCCTGAAAGTTACATTTTAAACATAATTTATCGCCAGGGACTAGCATGAGGTCTATTCCAAAAGATGATACGTTAAAAAACAACGAAGCCATACATCAGTAATGTGAAGAAGCACTATGCCGATGTGATACTTCAGCTGCTGGTTTAACTCATCCAAGTGCAAAACGAGAGTCGCGTATTTTTGCTGAAATTCAACAGTCACTGGCGATTCTTCCGCCGACGTCTACAAGGAACAAGCCCTCGATAAACACATAAAATGTCACGCTAAATTTACAAAAAAAACACACCGAACCTGGCTTTCAGCAATATCATTCATTTCCCTTAGCGCAGCAACTGATTTCTGCTTCTTTGACAAAATGCGATGTATCTTCGCCTTTAAAAGTTCCAAATAATTGTAATTCATAGGAACAAATAAAACACTTGATGGCATTAACTTACGAGACTTAGCAAAAAGTCTGACATTGCATCAGTCTGATCACAGAGCTCAGTTGCTTGTGAATCACAAAGAGTATTGCAATCCAACGGTTGCTGTAAGTTTGAGTAATCTAGCATCGAACGGCCGGGTAACTCATATTCTTTGCAGCCGTCCATGTTTAGAATCGAACCAGGGGGCGAAAGTTCTAAATCATTGGCAATTGGGGCAATGAAATACCTTGTTTGAAAATATAGGGGGCAGCATTTTCATCGGAGTAGTTTCGAAAATTTCCAGGACTTTCTTTAATACTGGAATGTAGATTTGATTGTAGGTACGACTTTAAATTTTCAACAGGAATGGCTGAAACTGATGAAGTCGAACAAACAAAAATATCCGATTCTGGGATTAGATGAGAGTTGTCAACAACCAACTGGAGTTTGGTGTTGTTCAAAGATGAGTGAGAAAGGATTTCTTTTTCTAGATTTACACTGTACATAGAAGAATCAGGGGAGACAGAACAAATGCGGCCCAAGTAAAACCCCTTTACTGGCGACAAGGATCTAAGAGAAATGAGAGATAATGAAAACCTACGATACCAAAGCTTGTGTTCCCGGTGCAAGGCAAAAAGGAATGCTGTTGATGCTTGGAAGACCTTCCAGTGATTGCACCATTTGCTTAGATTGAGACAATTCTGGAGGTAAATTATTGAGGTGATTCTGAATACTCCAGAGGTTTTGGCGCCTGATATTAAGACATCTCCGTTCCTCCATCAAAAATGCTTGACTAAATCGTCGGGGTTTTCCAATGAGTTTTCTGATGCAATGCCATTGGGCTCTGGTGAGAAGCCGGGATTTCAAGCGGCAGAAATTTTCTTTCAAAACAATTTGGAAATCATTAGCTCCTAAAAGTGCATGACTGCAACACAGAGAATGCCACCAGAAACAGAAAAGCATTACCTATCAACTAAAGAATAAAGCCACTCATACTTAAGGAAATCACAAAACGTTCTCGATTGTAATAAATTCTTCAATGATAGCACTAAGCGATTTGATGCAGGTTCCCCGAGAACCTTTAAACAGTACTACGTTTACAAAACAAGGAAATACTTGCCTCAGGGTAACCAGGAACATTCATACGTCTGCTAGAATAATGCGATAAACAGCAAATCTAAAAGGTCTCAAATAACGCGCCGTCGATACCACCAGCTATTCCCACGAATATTATGGCCTTGGTTCGAGAATTTTTTTATTTCGCATTAAAATTTAAAACAGAAAGTGAAAAAGCTGATGATATGATTAAAGTTGTTACCAACGAAAACCTCTAATTCAAAGTCTGAGCAATTAG